GGGATTCGCCTCGGGTAGCCTTTCCATGTGCCCTGTGGTGTATTGAACGGCCCAGAAATCTGGAGATTGATGCCCTTTCATTTATAGGAAGTTCCTGTAGAATGTATTTGAGGTGGGTTATAATCTACTATTTCCTCTCTGTTCTCCTTTTCTAATTCCTTTACTTGAGTGGTAGGCTTTTAGTACTCTAATTTTTAAAATGTCTTCTCCTTGTCATGCATTGATCTTTTTGTTCTATTTTTTTTTAGGAGCATCTTTGATTACTTTCCAATTCTTTCACTGAATTTTTAACTTCTGCTTTCATGTTCTTTACTGTTCTCTGTTCTTGTTAAAATACCTCCTGTTCTTGTTTTATGTGTATATTATTCTTTATTTCAATTTTAGTTAAATTTCTTCAATTACAGGTAAAATAGAAATTATTTAAAAGCCCTGACCCGTGTGTCTCAGTTGGTTGGATGTAGTCCTGTGCACCACAAGGTTGCTGCTTTGATTCCTGGTCAGGGCACTTGCCCAGGTTGTGGGCTTGATCCCTCCTCTAGGGGGCGTGCAGGAGGCAGTTGATCGATGTTCCACTCTGCATCAGGGTTTCCCTCCTTCTCCCATCCCCTCTCTCTAAAAGCAATGAAAAGTCACTAAAAGTGTTTGTTTCTTGCAGTTTCTGTTTCCCTGCACGCTCTTTGATGTCGTATCTTTTGGACTCTTGCTTTCGTGCTGGAGACCGTCCAGTGTCTGGTGACCCTGTTTAAGAGTAAAGGGATACAGAGGGGAGGCTGTTGGGGGTCTTGTTTACTGTTGGAGGGTGAGGACTCATGTGTTTTTGGCTCCCCCCAGATGTTCCTGTCTGCTGGCTTGGCTTCCTTGGAGAAGGGTCCTTCGCCTTTGTCTTGCCTTGTTGGTGTGAGTGGGTGTTCTGGAAGGTGAAAGGCAGCAGGAGGCGGCCTGCCCGTGGCTCAGTGGGGAGCCTGACCTGATGCTCCTGTTCCAGTGGAGGAGTTGACCCCTGACTTGCTTTGTGCCCACTGTCCCGTGCGGTCCATTCCCGGTGGGGTTTACAGAGCTGACCTCTGGTGTCCCGGGGCTGCAGAAGAGGAGTGCTTGACTGAGTGCGGGGGCCCAGGGACCTGCCTGAGAGTCCAGCGTCCCTCACGTGGGTTTTCACATCCACACCCCCTTTCAGCTGCAGGCATCGCCCCCACTTCTGAGCCTCGTGTGGGGTCCCTGCCCTGGGTCTTCCTGTTGATGTTAGTGTGGGGTTTCTCATGGCTCCTAGTGGACTGTGCTTCTCTCTCCTCTTCTCTCTCTGGTTGACTTTTGGTAAGAGAAGGGGGTGGAAGTCTGCTCCGCCGTCCAGGAGTCAGAAGCAGTTACTGTGAGCCCGCGAGGCGAAGCTCAGCCACGCTGGGAGCACAGCACCTGTGGGCAGGGCAGGGCTGCTCAGGGCAGGGCTGGGCTGGGCTGGGCAGGGCAGGGCAGGGCAGGGCAGGGCTGGGCAGGGCTGGGCTAGGCTGGGCTGCCTGTCGGGTCTCACTGTGCTCTGTGCTCTGGAGTCTTGCGGGTCAGCCAGGGCAGTGGAAGCATCTCAGCCCTGTGCCTGCCCACAGGGACGTCGTGGGCAGCTTGGTTGTTGGAGACCCCCCCTGTGGTCAGTGCCAGTGTGGGGGCGGAGCCCTGGTTTCCTGCTTCTGCTGCTTGTCATGTCACAAAACGGTTGTGTGTATCTGACCACAATTTATTGAGTTTGTCTTTGAACGTAATGTAGCTCACAAGAACCGTATTTTTGGCTCTTCCCGGCAGGAACTTGATGTTCTTTGTCGAGTGTCATTGTCCATCTGTCACTGTGAGCTTGGCCTTTATTTTGGTCAGGGGGCAGCAGTGACAGGGCGTGGCTCCCGGAGCCTGGTCTCGGCAGGTGTGATGCAGAACGCGTCGGTTCCGGAATGAGACGCCCTCCATTCACTGCTCGCTTTTATTTAATTCCTGGCTTTTCCATTTGTTCAAGTAAATCTCTTCAGAGGTTTTGGATTTTGAAAACAAAACGTTGACGTGGTTCTTTTAACTTGGAAGGTGGCATTTCCTTAGAGACGGTGTCTTCCCGGGTGGGAAGTCACTTTCCCAATAACATCACTGTCAGGGGTATTTTTTTTGAAAAAGTTTTTGGACTGCTTTCTGCATCTTTTTTTTTTAATATATTTTTATTGATTTTTTTTTTTTATTGATTTCAGATAGGAAGGGAGAGAGAGATAGAAACATCAATGATGAGAGAAAAATCATTGACCGGCTGCCTCCTGCATGCCCCCCACCAGGGATCGAGCCCACAACCCGGGCATATGCCCTTGACTGGAATCGAACCCGGAACTCTTCAGTCTGCAGGCCGATGCTCTATCAAACCAGCTAGGGCTCTGCATCTGTCTTTTAATAGGTTTGTAGGTTCTTTTCAGAGTCTATTTGAAAGGCTCTTTCTAAGGGTCTGTGAGCGCTTACAGAGCACTTCTGTTTATGAAGGGCTGCTCGAGGGATTGTGTAAGAGGGTACACATGCTTTTGAGATGGGTCCCCGATTTTACAAAACGTCATCGCGTGATAGAGCAAATGTTACCGAGCAGGAAGTGAGGTGGCATCTGTGAAGAGTAAACAAGGAAGGCCTGAGCTGGCCTTGACGTCTGCGCTGGACATGAGCCGTGAGGACGTGTTAGTCCAGGTCTTGAAGGCGTGAGGCAGGAGTTGGGGTGGTGAGGGATAGTATGTTCATTTTAACTTTTTATTTTAATTTTTTTAGTCTGTACATTTTAAATAAAAGGTTCCGGATTTTAGCAAATGTAGAAAACTGAAACCTAGAAACCCGAGAGTGCCAGCCATGTCGTGTCTCTCCTGACCCTCACGGGGTGCGTGCTGGTGCTGAAAGTCGGCTGTGGTCAGCGAGGGTGCCGTCTGCGCTCTCCTCGCACCGTTCCGCCTCCACACTCACTAGCCCGTGGTGTTGGTTGCGGGGACGTTCCAATTTCCTTGATTATGAATTGGGTGAGCCTGTACCCTTCGGTTCAGTTACTGGGTCAGAAAGGGCGAGTGGCATGAGGTGACGCTGGAGAGGCAAGGACAGGTCATATAGGGCCACGTCGCCATGGCAACAAGTGGCTAAACAGTGATTGAAGGGTTTTAGGTGTGGAACGATCTTTGTCAAAGATGCTGGTGCTGTGTGGAGAGGCTTGAAGGAAGACCAGCACAGAGCAGGGGCCAGTGAGTGGGCTGGGCCGGGGCAGGTGGGGTTGCAGAGAGGCCAGTGGGTGGAGTCGGGGTTTGTGTGTTTGAGTTTGATTTTTCAGTAGTAGATAAGGTAATTTCTGAGCTACACTATTAAAAACTCAGAGTATAGCCCTACCCGATTTGGCTCAATGGATAGAGCGACGGCCTGTGGACTGAAGGGTCCCAGGTTCGATTCCGATCAAGGGCATGTACCTTGGTTTCGGGCACATCTCCAGTGGGGGATGTGCAGGAGGCAGCTGATCGATGTTTCTAACTGTCTATCCCTCTCCCTTCCTCTCTGTAAAAAAATCAATAAAATATATTTAAAAAATACACAAAAAACACAAAACAAAAAAACCTCAGAGTATAAAAGAGTGTTATAGCGTGAACCATCTCCCTCCTTAGTCCCCCAGCCACTCACTTCTCTCGGCAGGCCAGCAGGGTTGAGATTATGGAGCCCCTGCAAGCAGTGCGTTTAGGTATTTTAGACGACGTGTTATGGAATTTTCAGATCTGCTCCGAAGCAGATGTGGGGAGAGTGAGGGCCGTGCACCTGTCCCCTTGCACCCACAGTCCCCTGCTCATGGCTGGTTCCCTCCCTCAGTTACCCTGAAGCAGTTCTCAGACACACTGCATCTGTGACTAGTTCAGCTAATACTCATATGCCAGTCAGTAAGTATCCAGCCTTTGTTCTGACTTTTATTTCATTTCAAATTAGGAACAAAGTGTGGTCTATTCATTGCCCTGGATAGATATCTCATAAAAAACTCGATGTATTGAATTCCATGTATTTATCTTTTTCTTGCAATTAAGTTTTGAAGATAATGGTTCATTTGTCCCAAACTTTCCGATACCCTTAGTTTTGCTGATTGCATTCTCCCAGTGTGTTTAATATGCTCCTCTCCTCTGCAATTCCCGTCCTTGAGGCTGGAGACGTGGAGCTGCTGCTTCCCGGGGAGGTAGCTACCAGCCTCCTGTGGCTGCGGAGCAGCTGAACTGTGTGTGGTTGGTGTGAGTTGAGATGTGTAAGGGCCACATACACAGCAGGTTTTGAAGACTTCATGGGAAAAAGGGAACGCAAAGTGTCACGTTAATACTGTAAAATACTGTTTGCCTGCCATTTTGGATATATTGGGTTAGATGAAATATTATTAAAAGTAATTTGTGTTTCTAAAGTGTGGTTACTAGGAAATTTAAAATTACATACATGGCTCAGATTGTGGCTTACATTATGTTTTGGTTGGACAGCCTTGGGCTAGAGGCTCCATCAGATGTAAGTTTGTCTTTAAAAAATTGTTTTAGCAAGAATACGTAGTAACTGGTACAGTGTTGAGTTTTTTAATCAGGCATAATAAGATTGCTTTGTGATGTTAATCATTTATATTATTGCTCAGAGCCAGTAACTCATCAGGGGTTGCAAAATGGCAGTCTTTCTCCATTTATTAGCTGGAATACTTCTACAAGGGAAAACTGCTTTGTTACCAACCTATATAATAAAAGCCTAATATGCAAATCGACCAAACGGCAGAATGACCAGGTGGAATGACCAGTCGCTATGATGTGCACTGACCACCAGGGGTCAGATGCTCAACACAGGAGCTACCCCTAGCCTGCAGGCCCCAGGCCAGCCAAGGCGGGTACCAGCGCCCCTCCCCCCCATCACCCCGTGGGTCCCCCCACAGATGGAGGTGGCGTGGGGGCGGGGCTGGCGAGTGGGCAGTACGCCTCCCTCCCCCCATTGCTCCTCCAGTTGCCCCACAGATCAGCCCTGATCGCCGGCACCCTACCCGTGCAGAATTTCGTGCACCGGGCCTCTAGTAAAGTATTCCTGTGGGAAAGGAGATACGGATTCTGGGTACTGCAAGCACCTGACACCCGGAGCCTCCCGGAGGGCTGGCGGGCCTGTGTAGCGGGAAATGGCTCGCTACGCTGGTAAAGATCATTTCTGTCCTGGAGTTTAGGTCGTCTCCTCCCCGATGCATCCCAAGGCTAGTGTTTAAGCTGAGGGCGTGTCCTGAGCTCCTGGAGCGCTGGGGGGACCAACGCCGCCATCACGTGGCAGGGAAGGGTGGGGCGCCACGCCCGCTTAGGGTGCCCTCTGCTCCTCATGGAAGCAGGGCAGGTCCTGTCATGCCCCTCTACAGGATTCAGGAACAGCAAGGCCTTGAACCAAAGTATGGAGGTTGCATTTGGGGGGAAATATTTTTACTGTATGACACAAATACTCTAGAAAAATGCACATGTTAGGTGTACATTTTCCTCCATGTCTCCAGTCCAGCAGGGACATTACCAGGACCACGCAGTCCCCTGGGCCCTTCTGGTGTGTCCTGTACTTCCCCAGGGTCACTGCCGTCTTGGCTTCTGATGCCGCGGGCGGCTCTGCCTGGTGGTGAACTTGGTAAAAGGCTGCCATGCCGTGTGCCCAGGGTCTGCCTTCCCGTCAGTGTCACATGGGTGAGGTTCGCCTGTGTGTGGCCCCTGGGAGTGCATTCCTTCTCCTGCTGTGCACTCCCTGGCATAGCGCCTCTTCCTCCTCCACTGTGCTCTGTCGTGGGCATTGGAGCTGTTTGCAGTCAGGGTGCTCGGGCAGAGGTGACGTGAACCTGCTGTGTGCCCTTTGGAAGACAGGCACCGTTGCTGTCGGGTGTACCCCGGGTGGGCGCTGATCACAGGGTGTGCGTGTGTATCGAGTGGTTCGTGCCACATCACAAGTGGAAGGCGTGTCCGTGGCTCCACATCCTTGCTGACATCTGGGGTCATTTGTCCTTTTCTTTTTAGCCCTGCCATCTAGGTGTGCTGTGTGTTTAATTTTGCCTTTCTCGATGACTAATGACGTTAAGTGCCAGCATGCTTTTTGGTTATTTTGTTCAGTCACTTTTGGGATGTGCCTATGTATTTATTTACTTATTGACGGAGGGGGGGGGGCGGGGGTTGGGGAGCGCGTACATGCACAAAAGAGCAACATTGATTCGTTGTTCCTCATATTGATGCATCATTGGTTGATTCTTGTATGTGCCCTGACCAGGGATTGAACCTGCAACCCTGGCATATCAGGACGAGGCTGTGACTGAGCGACCTGGCCAGGGACTAGAGTAACTTTTTTTTGTGTAGACCTGCCACGCTGTTCCCACAGCAGATGTAGCGTCTTACACCCTGCCGTTTCCCACACATCGCCAGCACTTGTCATTACCTACCTTTTTGATAGTCGCTGTGCCCGTGGGTGTGAAGTGGTATCTCTGCAGGTTTGATTGGGAGTTCCCTACTGACTAATGATGAGCATTTTTGTTTTTAATATGCACTTGCTTTTTTGCTTTTTTGTTTTAAAATATTTTTATTGGTTTCAGAGAGGAAGGGAGAGGGAGAGAGAGATAGAAACATCAATGATAAAGAGAGAATCATGGATCAGCTGCCTCCTGCATGCCCCACACTGGGGATCGAGCCTGCAACCCACGCATGTACCCTGACCAGGAATCAATCCCTGACCTCCTGGTTCATAGGTCAATGCTCAACCACTGAGCCACGCCAGCTGGGTGATGTTGAGCATTTTTTATTTGCTCATTGGCCAGTGGTCTATCTTCTTTACAGAAATGTCTACAGAAATCCTTGTCCGTTTCAACTAGATTGTCTATTTGTTGTTGAATTGTAAAAGTTTTTTACATTTTGGAGGGTGTAGATACAAATCCCTTACAGTCTATGATCACCAAATATTTTCTCCATTCTGTAGTTTGTCTCTTTACTTTGTAGACAGTGTTCTTTGAAGTGCAAATGTTTTTAATTTTGATGAAGTCCAATTTGTCTACTTTTTTTGCTTGTGCTTTTAGTGTCATATCTAAGGTCAAATCTAAAGTCATGCGTTGTGTTTTTCTTCTAAGAGTTTTGTAGTTTTAGCTTATATATTTTTGTCTAGGATCCATTTTGGTAAAATTTTTATATATGGAGTGAGGTAGGGTTGTTTTATTCTGCATGTGAGAATCCAGTTGTCTTAGCACCACTGGTTGAAAAGACTGTTCCTTCCACATTGAATTGTCGTGACATTTGGTTGTAAATCAGTTGACTATCAATGTTAGGGCTCATTTCTGGACTCTGAGTTCTAGTAGATTGATTTGTATGTCTGTCCATATGCCAGGACCACACTGTCTTGATTGCCATAGCTTTGCCGTAAGTTTTGAAGTTGGGAAGCAAGAGTCCACCAGCTTTGTTTTGCTCTTCTGGGTCCTTTTTTTATTTATTTTGTTTTATATTTTTATTGATTTTAGAGAGGAAGAGAGAGGGAGAGAGAGAGAGAAACATCAATGATGAGAGAATCATAGATCGGCTGCCTCCTGCACGTTCCCTACTGGGGATCGAGCCTGCAACCTGGACATGTGCCCTTGACTGGGATGCAAACCATGATCTCCTGGTTCATAGGTCGACACTCAACCACTGAGCCATACCGGTCAGGCTTCTGGGTCCTTCGGCAATGTGTGAATGGCATGCATATGACAGACCCCAATGCCCTGTAGGAATGACTGCTATACTGGCCACTGATCCCTTGTGGGCCTGTAACTGCCCCAGGGAGCCTGGACCCGGGACCATTTCTAATAGGCCTTCCAGAGGGAATGACCAGAGCCCATCTCAGCCCATTCATTACACCAAGGTCGCAATGATAAGGCAGGACCCTCAGGAGCTCCCACTGCCTTCCTGGGGAGATTAAACATACTAACCTAGATCCTGGCTCAGGGGCAGGCTAACTAGTCTTATGGCACCAATTTCTTTTTTTTAAATATACTTTATTGATTTTTTTACAGAGAGGAAGGGAGAGGGATAGAGAGCTAGAAACATCGATGAGAGCGAAACATCAATCAGCTGCCTCCTGCACACCTCCTACTGGGGATGTGCCCGCAACCAAGGTACATGCCCTTGACCGGAATCGAACCTGGAACCTTTCAGTCCGCAGGCTGACACTCTATCCACTGAGCTAAACCGGTCAGGGCTCTTTTTTTTTTTTTTTAAATATTTTTTTTTAATTGATTTCAGAGAGGAAGGGAGAGGGAAAGATAGAAACATCAACGATGAGAGAGAATCATTGATCGGCTGCCTCCTGCACCCCTCACATTGGGGATCGAGCCTGCAACCTGAGCATTTGCCCTGACCAGGAATTGAACCGTGACCTCCTGGTTCATAGGTCAACGCTCAATCACTGAGCCACACTGGCCAGGCAGGACACCAATTTCGAACCCAGGCTGCTCCCGATATTCAAAGAAAACTTCAGAAGCTCTCTTTAGGGCCACGTACCTCTACCTCAAAAATAAGAATAAAAAAATAAAAATTGGGGTGGGTGTTGGATATTTTAGCAGTGGTTTTTGTGGGTAGATGCGCGGCAGCTGAGAGCAGCCACGCTGTGTACTGCCCCGTCCCGTGTCCAGTGCCGTCAGGGGGACGGGTTCAGTTACCTTCCACACTCGAGTCTGACACGGTGGCCTGGTCATTGGCCCTGCAGGGATCTGTTTATTCGCGTGGCTGGGACCAGGGAGTGTGGTCGTCATGATAACGGCTGTAGGTGTGTTCCATTGGCAAATGGGGTTTAGAGTCCGTGTGTGTTAGAGTCGGGTGCTGTACAAGGGACTGAGATGGCTTTTGCCCTTTAGTGCTTACGGCAGCCCTACCAGCCAGGTCGGGTGACTGTCCCAATTCTTCCTTTCACAGAAGAGGAAGAGGAGGGGCTGTGTCTTGCCAGGCAGGCAGTCTGAGGTGTGGACCACAGTGTGCACAGCCACCAAGTGGAACTTCTTTAAGAGTCAGAGGCAGTTCCACTCCAGCTTGCTGCTTGCACAGTCTCAGCTGCAGACCTGGAAGCTCCTGAGTGGACTCTGCCCGGCCCGTCTGGAGTGGGCGGCGCCCCTCGCCGAGTCCTGGCTGCCTGCACCGCTCACCAGGCAGCTGGTAGCCCCTGCTGCTGCTTTTGTCTGATTTCCGCCTCAGCTGTGGCTCTCCCTGCCATGAACTGTGATCGTCCTGCGAAGCAATGCTGTTACCTTGTTGTTGAGACACTGGCTAGACCTGGGTGGGCTTGCCCTTCCTACTTCTTGTTTCGGTTTCTGTTTCAGATCATTGCTTTCAAGACAGGGTGTGAGTGGCAGCTACCTCCTCCTGCCCCGGTCCTTCTCCCTCACTCTGCTGAGGACCTGAGGCTGCAGGAAGCTGCCTGGGCCTCGCTCTCCAGGGACCCACTCTGGCGGCGGACAGCTGTGTCCTTCCCGAAGCTGTGGACATGGCCCATGTGTCCATCTGTCCGCAGATGGGCATTGGGTTGCTGCACTGCTTGTCTCCTGTGCATGCGGCTGCTGTGACGTCAGCAAAGCTTGGTGTGGACCTCTGCGTTCATTCTCTGGGTGTGCCCCTGGCAGTGGGATTGCCAGGTCAGGACAGCCCCGCGCAGAACTGTTCCCCAGGTGACCGCACCATCGGCATCGCCACCAGCAGGCCGTGCGCCCAGCTCCCCGCACCCTTGCAGCCCTCACGCTGGCTCTGGCTGCCGCAGCCTTCCTGAGTGTGAAGTGCTGCCTCGTGGCGGTTTCCTTGTGTGTGATGATCAGTGAAGTCGCATCTTCCTATGAGCTTGTTAGCCATTCGGACATTTTCTTTTAGGGATTCAAGTCCTTCCTTCAGTTCGGTTCTCTGTGTTGCTGGTCATCAGAGCTCTTTCTCTGCAGGCGCCTCGTTCCATTCGCTCGCTCTATTGCGTCCACAGGTGTTGTGCTTCTTTTACAACTGAAGGTAGGACCCTCCCCCAGCAGAAAGGTTTGCCTCGCTTTATGGTGGAATTGCTTCGCCGAGGGCATGCACTTTGGGCATACGGCTGCTTGTAGTGCTCCTTTGTAACCCTTACTGTTTAGGGAGGGGTAGCACTGCTCATCTCGCATCCTGACTTTCAGTCTTTTCTCTCTTTCTTGGTCAGTTTAGCCAAAGGTTTGTGATTATGTTGAAGCCTCAGAGAAGTAACTTGATTTTGTTGCTACTCTATTGCTTTTTTCTTCTCTATTTCATTTATTTCCACTCTAATCTTTTTTTCTTTTCTATTTCTTTTGCTTGCTTTGAGTTTAGTTGCCCCTTTTCTGGTTTCTTTTTTTTTAAATTTAATATATTTTATTGATTTTTTACAGAGAGGAAGGGAGAGGGATAGTTAGAAACATCGATGAGAGAGAAACATCGATCAGCTGCCTCCTGCACACCCCCTAACTGGGGATGTGCCCGCAACCAAGGTACATGCCCTTGACCGGAATCGAACCTGGGACCCTTCAGTCTGCCGGCCGACACTCTATCCACTGAGCCAAACTGGCTAGGGCCTTTTTCTGGTTTCTTAAGGTGGAAGCTTAGGATCTTGGTTTAAGGGAGTTTAAAGTGATCTTGCTATTTAGGGAGTTTAAAGTGATATATTTTCCACAAAGTGCTTCTTTAGCTGTGTTATGGAATTGTGTCCCCCACAATGATATGTTGAAGTCCTCACCCCTCCTACCTCAGAATGTGACCCTATTTGGAAATAGGGCCATTGCAGTTGCTTTCGGAGGTTGCACTTGAGTAGGTGGGCCCTGATTTAATAGGACCTGTCTCCACATCAGAGAGGAGAAGGCCTGTGAGCACAGACGTTCAGAGCAGAGGGAAGATGATGTGAAGGTGCACGAAGACCACGCCATGTGCCTGGAGGGATGTACTTACCAGCCAGGAACACCTAGGAGGCCCCTGGAGGGGCAAGGAAGACGCCCCCCAGCGCCATCAGAGAGCGTGGTCCCCGACACCTTGGTTTTGGACTTCTGGCATCCAGAACCGGGAGACGGTGAATTCCTGTGGTTGTAATTCGCCAATTTAGAGCGCTCTGCTGCGGCGGCCCTGGCGCACTCAATCCAGTGGCCTCCTATACATTTCGAAATGTTGTGTTTTTATATATTTTTTTCAGTTCAAAATATTTCTATTTTCCCTTGTGATCCCTTTTACCCATGGGTTATTTAGAAGTGTGTTGTTTAATTTCAAAATATTTTGGTATTTCCTAGATTTCCCTGTCGTGTTGACTTCTAATGTAATTTCATTATGGTCCTGCTTTGTTATTTGTGTATTTTTTGTTGTTGTTAACCCTTAGCTGAGGATATTTTTCTATTGATATTTAGAGAGAGTGGAAGGGAGGAGGAGAGACCGAGACAGAAACATCGCTGTGATTGGTTAGGGCTGCTTTAGCTTCCATTTGTTTAAATTGGTTAGTTTTTTAATGGCTCAGACCCTGTTCTGTCCTGGAGCGTGTTGGCCGAGTGCTGAGCAGGACGTGGTGGGCTTGGCCGTGGTGCGGTGGGCTGCTCCGTGGCAGGGGTCTTGGTCTCTGGTGTTGAGTTCTCCTTATTCGTCCTTATTTCCTTTATAGTTTCTCTGTTAGTCTCTGACAGTAGGGTGTTGAATATCCCACTCTTATTGATGAATTTTCTTTTCACTGTTGTCAGTGTTTGCTTCATGCATTTGAGGCTCTGTTGTTAGTGTTGTGTGTATTCGCAGTTGTTTTTTTATTGTGAAATGCCCTGCTTGTCTCCAGCAGGGTTTCTTGTTTGCAGGTCCATTTTGTCTGGTAGCCGTCTGGCCACTTGAGTTCTCTTACGGTTTCTCTTTGCATCGTGAGCCTTTTCCTCGCCTTTTACTTTAAAATCTTTGTGTCTTTCCATCTGAGATGTGTCTCTAGCAGACACATAATCAGACCATATTTTAAAAAAATATGTTTTTATTGATTTCAGAGAAAAAGGGAATGGGAGAAAAAGATAGAAACATCAGTGATGAGGGAGAATCATCGATAAGCTGCCCCTGCACGTCCTACACGGGGGATTGAGCCCTCAACCTGGGCATGTGCCCTGATCCTGGTTTCTAGGTCGATGCTCAACCACTGAGCCACGCTGGCCAGGTTACTGTCATATAATCTATAATAATAATTATTCATTTTGTTTTGCTGTTTGCATGAAGTCTGAGAATGCTATTTAGAAAATATTGCCACCTTTAAGAAAGGACTTCAGGTATTTATTGTTTTGTATTTAGAGCTACAGCCTGGACTTGCCTGGAGGGCTGGCCTAGCTGTGAAGGGGAGTGGGGGTGGGTGCGCGTGTTTGCATGTGGGTCCTGCTTCTCTGTGATGTGGTACGTGGGCGCCGGGCTCTGAAGCTGAGCTTCTCATGACCGGCTGGTCGAGTGCTCAGGTGCCCTTGGGCGTGGCCTCAGACTCCTTCCTAGGTTATCTGTCAGTTTTTTAAAAAATTTCTTTATTGATTATGGTATTACATATGTGCCCTTATCCCATCATAACCCCCCCAACTCATGCCCTCACCCCCCTGTTGTCTCGGGGAGCGATTTGTGTGGGGGCTGAGCTGTTACTGGTGGTTCTGTAGGATTCTCCACCATTTTTAGGGCGTTGACAACTGTACAAATGGTTTCCTTCTGAGAAAATGAAAATTATTTTAGAATGTTTGTCAATCTGAGGTTTCAGGTGCACCGTGGGCCCCCCCTGGGGCACGCCCCCTGCCTGGAGCTGCCTCTATTTCATGACCCAGTTGCCACTGCTGAGAAAGGGCACTGAGCGTGCGGCGCCTCCGCCTGCCGTTGGCTGTAGTGAGTGGCACTCACCGAGGAGCGTGGCTGGAGGTCCTCTTCCCCGTCAGCCCTTTCCACAGGCGCTCTGGGCCGGGGTGGCCTAGGAGGTAGGGTCACCTCCCCCCCCCCCCCAAACCCCCCCTGAGTGGGGAGGGGGGTAGGAGGGCCCCCCAAAACTGCAGCGCTGAAAGCTGGGTCAGGCTGGTCGTCCTGGCGGGAAGAGGGAAGAAGCTCCTAACTTCTCCAGTCGTGCTGCTGGGAACCCGCTAACAGGGCGTCTCTGTTTCCTCCTTCCCTGCCCGGTGGCCCCGGTGGTCCCGATGGCGGTGATGGGAGAGGCTGGGAGGGCACGAGTGAGAGAGGGCAGGCGCTGGGCTCCGCGTGGCCCAAGGAGCTGGCCTTGTCCCTGTCTGTTCCATGCAGGCTGCAGAAAAAGGAGT